CACTAATTGAAAGTTGTAAAGCTTATCAAGATGCATTTAACAGTAGTTAGATCATCTAAATCAGCATAGTAAATGGTGAGATATTATTGAAAAATGATTAGCTGACTATATAAAATCTTTATGTAAACAAATATTGTTTACATAGAGATTTTATATAGTCAGCCAATCATTTTTGACAATATCTTGCCATCTACTAAGCTGATTTGGATGATCTAATCACTGTTAGATGCGTCTCAACAATCTCTACAAACTTTTAATTAGTAGACATGTATCATTTAGAGTTTCAACCCAGATTAATCTGCCATCTATTTATCTGCATTACTATATCCGGATATCTACCGTAATTTCCCAACATGTGTACCCCCCATGAGCTATACCCTGTAGCAATTTAGAATGCCAAATTTTGATTTATACCTAGGTATTAGTCATGGTATCCCCGACTCATATACCCCCCGTAAGTTGTATCTTGCTTTATGTATAAACAAAATTTTCACCAATCAAATTTAAGGATCTGAAGTAACATGAATATCAATATCGAGATATCGTTTCGCTAATTTAATACTTTAAATTTTTATTTTTTGTTTCGTTAAAAAGGTGTCTACCTATAACTAGTGATCTGGAAGCTTTTTGAACATCGAATTAGATTAGTTACTGTATAATATAACATATCTTTCTAATGAACTCAATAATAAAATTTTGGTTTAATTTAAATTGATGTGTAGAAAATGGACTGATAGTAAAAAAAAAGATTAGACATATTACCAAAATAGAACAAAGTCCAAAAGCTTTTTCACAAAAATACCTTTTTTTTATCCTTAGCTGTACCAATGCTGTTTCGATAAAAGATTTAAAGATTGAATTGTCTACTCGAATTGTCACCTCAGCAGATCTCCACTCAAGTGCCTTTTTTTCATCCTTAGTTGTGTCTACGCCGTTTTCATTGCAGAATCCAAGTTTAAGGAATATCACCTTTGGTAGGTTTGAATACCACTCAAATATCTTTTTTCTAATTACTATTTGTGTCTATGCCATTTTCATTACAAAGTTCAAAATAAATTGCCTCATCAGAATTGCCACCTTTTAGCAGATTTAAATATCACTTAATGGTTTTTTTTTATTCTTGCAGAATCCAATTTTAGGCTGCCTATCGAGATTGTCACCTTCAGCAGATTTGAATACCATTCGAATATCTTTTTTTCATCATTAGGCTATACAAACTTAATGAATTGGTTTTTATAACCTGGCCGGGTCAAAATTTACAAAGCTCTAAAAAAAAATTTCAATTATACTTACTATCCGGGTGAGCTTTTTTGAAAAATCTATAAAGATTTTATATGTTTTTTATATATAAAATTTTTTGAGAATAAAATTAAAAGCCGGGTTGCCAGGTCACTTTTAAAAATTTTATTTTATGAAAACCGATTTATTAAGTTTGTATGGCCTTATCTGTTCTTTATTGCAAAGTTCAAGAGTGCTTCACCAGAATTGCCACCTTTCAGCAGGTTTTAAATATTACTCAATTGTTTTTTTTCATCCCTAACCTTGACTATACCATTTTTATTGCAGAATCCAAGATTAGGTTGCCTATCGGAATCATTACCTTCAGCAGGTTTGAATACCATTTAAATGCCTTTTTTTCATTATTATCTGTGACTATGTTCAAAGTTCAAAATAAACTGCCTCATCAAAATTGCCACCTTTTAACAGGTTTCAAATATTAATTGTTTTTTTTTCATCCCTAACCTTGACTATACCGTTTTTATCGCAGAATTCAAGATTAGGCAGCCTATCAGATTGTCACCTTCAGCAGGTTTAAATACCATTCGAATGCCTTTTTTTTATTATTATCTGTGCCTATATTGTTTTTATTGCAAAGTTTGAGATAAACTGCCTCATCAAAATTGCCATCTTTTAGCAGGTTCCAAATATTACTCAATTGCTTTTTTTTTGTAGAATTCAAGATTAGGCTGTCTATCGGGATTGTCACTTTTGAATACTACTCAAGTGCCTTTTTTCGTTTTTAGCTGTGATTACGCTATTTTCATTGTAGAATTTAAGACTAGGTGTACGTTTCTATCTTTAATTATAATGTGTTAATAAATTGCTATATGTAAAAATAATTAACGGCAGCATTAATAAACAAATTGAAAACTGCAGTTAATTAGAAATAAATTAGTAAAATAATGTGAATAAATAATAAAAAAATGTTACCTTAATGAGATATAAAATAATAAATATTAAATCTGAACCTGAAATATATAAACTCGAAGTTTTTTAAGTTTTGTCAAAAAAAAAAATAAAACTTCAACGAATATGAAGCCCGATGATCAAATTACTCTTGTTAGTATTTATAAATAATAAGACGGATCACGATATATAAATCAACCAATTTAATTAAGCAACGGTCAAACAATAAGATTTTTAATAAAAAATAATCCATATTCAATTTAAATTTTTAACAGTAAACTAAATTCTAAAATTCACAAATTTTATTGATAAAATCAAATAAAACATTCTAGAAATCTATAACTATTCCCAAACATTGTTATCACCCTCAACTTCTTCATAAATCTCACCCTCAATATCATCACCATTAATTACTTCAGAATTTTCATCATTTTCATCTGTTGGATTTTCATTCAACAACTTATAATCGAAAACCTGATCGTCTTCCGTTCTATCTATTTTGACCGAAACACCACAGCACTTAAATGCCTTTACTATCAACTGGGGTCAACCTCCTCCCACGAATCCTTTACCTATTGTGCAAGAGTAGCATATGATAGTTTTCTAAAATGCCCAGCAGGTGTTAATTGAGATCGCAGTAGACATCCACTCATTATAACGGCGATGCACCTAAAAATTTAAATTTCATTAATGCTGTGTACTCAAAAAATCAAAATATTTCAATAATACCTTATCCTTAAAGCTCTTATTTATCGTGATATCTAGGGGTTGTAGTTTACTAGTTAACCCTCCGGGAATTACTACGAGGTGGGTGTTATTTTCTTTAAATTAATATTTAATGGAATCTATTAAATAACCCCTAAAGGAGTCCAAAACAAGAAGGAACTGCGGTTTTACTTCTTCACTACGTTTGCTCCAAATGTTATTAATCCAATAGTGCATCTAAAGTATGGCGCCGTAATTCAAATTGTCATATGTCGTAATGTAGTAATGATTTACTACAAAAGTAGTAATTGTAAT